ATCCGCATGTAACAGCGGATTTCCGGTGGAGTTCTGGCCTTTGAAGAAGATGACCTTGTCGAAACGTTAGGCCGTTGAATGAAGATTCCACCTAAAAACCTCGAGAGGCATAGCAATACTAACGAATTGATTGCTCCTAATAGATGTAGTAGATGGCAGGTATTTCCGTTACGTGGTAAGCGTAGGGGGTCACGTGTCATGTTCTCATCAGTGATGAAGAAACGTGTAATGTATAATTGTGGGTGACGTCTTCAGAAGCGTCATTAACGTGTTATCTGACGACTAGGTTGCGTTCATACTTTGCGAATCGGGAGAATCAGCATGTTGAGCGAATCGGCGTTTTACGAACTAAGTTTTGAACGGAAAAATAGCAAAGGTATTGGTCGGGCGCCGATCGCCGGCAGCTCGGAAGAATGAGAATATATGAAAAATTCGAGTGTTCCAGGAAAATCGATATTTTGGGCGCCAATCGATACCTATGCTTTACTTTTGGCTCGAAACTCTTCGAAACTTTGGAATAATTTTCTCAAAACGCTGTTTCTCTCAAAACGCCGAGTGACAAAGTATGAACACAGCCTTATCTGTCTCATAATGCGTAGCGTACCGGAGCGGGATCACCCTTCGCCTTGAAAGGAGGAAATGCTTTTCCCTAACTTCCCCTTTGCATGCTCTTTGTTTACTTTTATCGATGCGAATGGTCCATATACGAGAAATGTTTGATAACTAACTAGATGCCCAAAAGAGCCTGGAAACCGGCTGCTGTATTGAGGAACTTTTCGCACTCTTCGTCGCATGCATCCCTGTGAACATGCTGATAAGTGCGCCCCATACCCAGAGAATAGTGTAAATACAGTCGTTTTGGCTGCAGACGCTGGGAGCGTATCAGGGATGGGGTTCGGTTTGGTGAGGTGCCAGCTCATTCTCCACCAGTGTTGAATCGGGCAATCGGCAACGACTGCTAGAAAACAGGTTGGCGCCGCGCCGCCCCAAGACGCCTTGACACCCCCCCCCTTCCTGCGTGTGCAGCCGGAAAGACTTATTTTCAGCTGACATCTTCTCCGTGAATTTGGCGTTTACCTTACGGATGCATTGAAAAGATGAATGAATTGGCAGTATTCATTACTTTTATTTTCAGAGAACGCATACAGCTCGAGTATTCACCGTGGTTCCAGTTCCTCCTTGGACTCCTTCAAGTCGAGGTCGAGTACAGCGATATTTTTAAATACGGTAAGGGTTTCCTGTCTGGTTTATCGTTTTGTTACTGTACATTATGTGTATATCTTCCAATATTTTTGCGGGCAGTTAGGCGACGGGATGGAGGGCACATCGACGTTTAGAGACCCATCCAGAGAGCCGTTTCGTGAACTTACAAGAGTTGACAGGTTTCACCATGGTAGCTCGACGAGCTTGCTCAGCTTCACAAGAGTTCACAGGTTTCACCAGAGTGAGACTTGTAAAGCGGAACTAGTGAAGCAGCGAAAGTGCAAAATGTTCCCCCCCCCCGCCCCACCGAGCCCCTCGTAGCCCAACTGCGCTATTTCTATAGCTTTTTCTGCAGGAGTTCTACTGAATTTCACGAAAGCACTGCCACCCTCCCCACCGTCCCCCTCCCCCTTCTCGCCCTCCTTCATTTGGTCGTTCAGTTCCACGCGACCGGGTCGCATTTATTTTTTTCGCCTGTTATGATGTCTTGCTCTTTAACCTGTGCACGGACCACGGACATCTGTTTTTTTTTGTTCGCAAGTGCTAGCACTTTCTTTCAGTGGACGGGGCTTTACTGGAGCTGGAAATAAGGATGGGATATCGCACAAATACTGATGCTGCAGATGAGTGGCATGACTTGATCACTACTAACATTACTCGAACTTTGGAGTGTAGTATCCCTCCAGATAAGGTCCGTAATTGACTGCTTCGGAACGTTTTTGCTGTTGTTGTTAAGCTTTACTAATTCAAGAGATCTAATGGCCACATATATGACTGTGGAGTGATTGATCTTTTTGAAATGGGATCGAACAACTACCCATTTTATTTATTGAATGTCAGGATTCCAATAAACCAATCTGCTTGCGCGTAAGTTTCAACGAGGAATGCAATGCTGCATTTGAAGGTGATTAGTTCCTTTGTATGCACCATGAGGATTTCATTTTATAGCGCTAATCCGAAGAGTCCGAATTGTCAAATTGGGAAGATTATGAATCTCAGAGTAGTGGTGAGTTCCCTTTTTCT